CCCCCCCGCCCACACACACACACACTACTCACGTCACATCTACAAAAGGAGTACCCTACCTTCCCACTGACAAGTGCAATATCGAATCGACGTCGATGTCGTTTCATGATTCGATGTTATTTTGGGCTCTAAAACGAAGAGAAAACGATAACGACGTCGATTCAAAATTGCATGTTTTTCACTGGGTGCTTGCACCTGCTGACCGCAACTCCCGGGTTATGGCGCGGCCTCCGCGCCGGCCCCGGCCCCGCCGGTCCGCCGGCCTCATAACTTCCCTATCCACGCTGCGCTAACGCTGCGCTCGGCGGAGTAGAATGGGTTGCCTACCTAAGTGGTCACCAAACTTTGAGGTAGTTGAATGCTCAATGCTGCGTAGCCGCCCACGCGCCCCACAACAAGTTAGGGAGGTACTCACCCACGCCATAATCGCCGATGACTAGAAATTTGAACAGTATTTCCTTGGACATGCTGCCGGCGACAACACTCGAGCTTCCCTCTCTGTCGACTCCGGCGGCCTGGTTGTTGCTGAGCAGCATGCCTCACTCGGAGCAGCTTGGGTTAACTGGTGTGCAGCTGCACTCTTGCGCTGCTCACGGCTCGGGCTCACAGGCGAGACTGCTATCACTCTGATGAGCGGGACGGCGAGTTGTCTTCCGCTGCTACTTCACTCTGACACGCCGAGCCACGAGGGGTTCAAGATAAGCTCCTCTTGTCGTCTGCTTGTTTTGGTCACGTGACGAATGTATATATTTCTCATACATGACAGGAGAGGAAACTCAACTCCGTGCTGAGTATGAGAAACATAGTGGCATTCAAGTTACCCGAACCCGACCCAACGTGGACTGACCAAACACAACGTGGTTGTCTTTCCTAATTTGGAGTGTGAAAATGGCTGTGGGTAAAGTTAAGAAACGGCAGGGCTCGAAGAAGACCAAAAAAGCCTGGAGGAAGACTGATATTCAAGATGTTGAAGACTTTCTGGAGGACAAGCGGCTCGAAGAAAGATTAGGGTATGCCGTGCTCTTATTAGTACAGGTTATGTTGTGGTTATGTATCACCGGCATTGTTCATCTCCTGTTAATTTTTTAAACTCTTGAACACTTTCATTATTTGCTACTATCAAGTTTTAAAAGTGCTGTAATTTTCTATGTCAACAGAGTTGCATTTGAAGACCGACAAGATCATGAACTGTTCACAGTTGACACAGTTCCTGATCAGAAAGGCCTGGACAAATTTGAAGATTGGAAAAAGGAACGTCGTAACGAAATCTTAAAACAACCTCCTCGCTGTTATCAAGCACTCCTACCAGATTCTAAAGTACCTGACCCTATTTCAAAGAGGTACTTGTCCTATTTCTGAAAAGTTATATATTTGCTTTTCTTACTTTATCTCATTCTTGATTTCGTTTTCTAGGAACAGGATTCGTACTGCTGAAGAAAGGAAACATCCTCTCTTAAGGAAAAAAGAAGCTGAACGCATAGAGAAAGGAATCCTGAAGGCTAAAGACCTTGACCGGCAGAGGAATCGAATTCTCGATGAGAAGCGCCGTAAAAGTAGACCAGCACCTGGAGACTTTTCTAAAGATTTGTGGGATGAGAGTAAGTATCAGCAATTTACAAAATTCACTACAATAATATATATCTGTATCTATCTATACATCCATTTGAAATCACTTTTTTTTAAATAATTTTTACAGGTAACATTTCATCTGCTTTGGCACCAGAATTGGGCTCAGAATGGCTGGAGCCAAGTGTTAAAAAACATGTTATGATTAATTCCGATTTAAAAGACAAAATAGTCCGATCAAAACTGCAATGCAAGCCTCACAATCTACCTGCAGTGGAGGTTCCTCATCCTGGTTGGTACTCTTTAGCTTAGTGTAAATGAATTCTTTGTACAACTGAGATTTTTGCATATTTATGTATTGTTTCCAGGCATGTCTTATAACCCATCATTTGATGATCACATTAATTTACTAAAGGAAATTTCTGACAAGGAACAGAAACTCATAAAAGAAGATGAACACATAAAGAGAGTGACTACACTTATGTTTAAAAAACTGCCAAGAGGTGTAGCAGAAGTTAGTTGAGCTTATTCAAATTCCAACACTACTAACCAACAATCTGACTTTTAAAGCGCATACTACAAGATTCTACTATTTAATTTTTTCCAGGCTCAGTGGATCAAAGAAATGAGTGAAGGAGTGCCTGTCCTTGATCCAGAAGCTGCAAAGTTAGATGAGGAGGATGATAATGATAACGAATATCGTGCTATAAATCCTCCTACAGATAGAGACAAGAAGAAGGATAGGAAAACCCGAAGGAAAGCTATTGAAGAGAAAAGGAAACAGGTCGAGAGGCAAATGTCAAAACTAGAAAACAAGAAGGTTTCAGACTTATATAGGTATGCTTTACTGGAAGAGAACATCTTTTTAGCTTTAATAGTTTTGCTTGTGAATTATGAACTATATTATTGAAATCTTTGAATTGCATGTCACATGTCATCATTCTATTCCATCTGACTTATCATTTATCTATTTCAGACTAAGAAAATTGAAAGAGGATATTTCAAAAGCAGAAGCAAAATCAGCAAAGCTTAAAGATAAACGTATTGCATTGAGAGCTAAATATGCAACTAAAACAAAGCGCTTAGGACGCAATAAGTTTGAGGAAAGAGAAACAGATTTTAATCTAGCTTCTGAGCTGAAAGGCAATTTACGTTCCCTTAAACCTGAAGGAAATTTATTGGCAGATAGATTTGTCAACTTACAAAAGAGAAACATAATGGAAGTGGCAGCAAGGCAAAAGTAAGTTCTCTGTAGAGCTTTGTTTCAAGTTCTTTTCCTTTCATGCGCTCATTGATTTTATTGTTAATCTTTTTTCAGTCCTCGTCGTGCAAAGATAAAGAAGTTCTTCAAATCTTCTCACAAAATGGCGTGGGAAGTTACCCCTCTACAGCGACAGCTTCATGAAAGGAAGAAGCTGCAACGAACAAATCATGTAACTTTAGGTGCAAAATAATTACACCTTTTTTTGTTCTATCCATTGTTGTTGAAATTACACCTAGCTTAAAAGCTGACCTTATCTTATTCTGATACCCCCATCACTTATCACTCTGAGAGCTGTTTAGTTTCAATATCACCACTGAAGGAAGATGTTCCCTCTTTTCTTGGAACAAGCCCTAGATCACCACTGCGGTACGCTGATGTTGAGGTGGCAGGAAGGGAGAGTTGTATAGTTGACAACCTGAATTCCATCAGACATAATAAAAATTCTGATATCAATTTTTAATAGTACAGACGTAAGATATTTTACTCACGATCCTGTGTCCTTTGGTTGAGGCTGAAGGTTGCAAAGGTCATACTTGGTAAGTAATTCTAGAAGAGTAGCCAGTAGATTGTCTCGCACAGCCAAGTCTAATGCTTCATCGCCTGATGGATGATCCTGTATCTAGAATGGCAGGTAACATATTTTGAAACTATCCTGTCTTGTCTTATCTATATATTCAAAATTTGAATCATTTAAAATAGTAACCTCCAGTGCGTTTTTGATGGCATTTACTGCTGCAAGCATTGTGTTTCCTACTCTGTTTGCATATTGTCGCATATTTGCCACCTTCAAAAGCATGTGCTCTCGTTCATTAGCAGCAGTAGCAAGCTGGCTCTTGAGCTTACGCATTTCATTGCACATATTGGTGTGCTTTCCTTCTGCTTCAGTTAACTGAGTCTTGTATTGTTCTGTGAGTGACTGGTAGTGAGTTAACTCTTTGACACGAGTGGTTAACTTTGCATGTTCCACTGACAGACGGTCAATAAGCTGAGAAAGTGACATTTAATTATGAAATTTAATTTTAAAGGTCCAGTGTCAATCAAAATATGAATCAACAAACCTTGCTTTGCATTTCACTCCTATTCAGAGCCATTTTCTTCTCTTTTTCGTGCAATTCAACATTCAGCCTCAATTCCCTATCTCTTTCTCTCATTTTGTCATTTTCATCTGTCAGTTCCTTAGTTGAAGCTAGCATTAAATCGAGCTGGAATATTTTTTCTATTAGTATTATAGTATGATAAAACTTCATTTTATCAAGTTTGTTTAACTTCAGAGGCATACCTCATTGTTTATTGCTATATTTTCTCGAATGACCCTGTGAGTAGTACTAGCTATTCTGGACTCAGTTGCCTCTTGGAACTCTGTTGATAGCTGAAGAAGTCTCACTTCCATTTCCTTTTTAAGACTGAAATGAAAATATTAAATTTTATGGTTTCACAGACAAATGTAATGTATTTGGTTATCACTGACCTGTCTTTGCCTACAATAAATTTTCGTTCAACTTCATAGAGTTCTCGAGCGTGACTCTGCCGTTGATCTTCCATTTGTTGTTCTTGGGTTACAAACTTGGCCATCAAATCATCACGCTGCACTCGAAATTCATCAAGTGCGTTCAGTTTCCCAGCTGTTTGGGAAGAATTTCAGAATGAATAGGAATTTCTCTTCTGAATGGTCAAGATTGGCTTTCACTTACCCAGCAGTTTCACTTCTGATGTAAGTTGTAGTTGCATTGCCTTAAATTCTTGTTCCATTTGCTCAACCTTTTCTCTAAATGCTTTTGTTTCCATATCCCGAGTCTGAAAAATTTAACCATCTAAATCATAGCTTAGACACGCTTGCTCCAGTTGAACTAGATCCTGCAAACCTGTTGCAACCCCTCCAGCCTTTCTTTAAGCTCTAAAATCTCATCCTCTTTTTCTGAGAGTGTACGGTTTAGGTAGGATATAACATCAGCTCGGTCTTCTTCAAGTTTATTTCTTTGAGATGAAATGTCATCATTACTTAACTCAAGTTCTGCACATCTAGATCTCAATCTGGTCAGAAAATTAAAATTAGGTCAGTTTCTGAACAGTAATTTCATACTTACCATCAGCAATGATAAAGCCTGATTCTGTGTACCTGGCAAGTTTCCGATTGAGGTCAGTTATTTGAAGCTCATAAAACTCCTTGTCAACTTCAGTAAGCAAATTCTTATCTTCTTCCTCTGTTTTCTTTCCTTTTTTTCCCTTCTTGCCTTTGCCTCCTTTGCCCTTCTTTCCCATGATGAATTACTATGAAGCCAATCTAATTTAATTTGTTTTAAAAGAAATTGTATTTTAAATCAGTGGTATAAGACATTCTCATATAAAATTCATCTGTTTGTCAGATGTAATTTGATGCTGTGTCTAGTTAACTCACTTCGGTAGATTTTACAGAACAAATCTATGTGAAGGGAAAGACTACTTGTTCAAAGTGAGAAGAAAATTCACCTATCAGTTTTCTTTTGACATGTAGTCAGCTAGGCCTAAAGTTTGGATAATAGCTAAAATGTTTTCACTTGTTAAAATTAACAGCACAAGAGACATTGAAAAATGAGTGTTCCTCTACAAACTTAATTTTTTTCAAAATTCTTCACTATTTACTCCGTAGTGTTCTGAGTGATCCCAGGGAGGCAAATTGTTACCATGGTAATAATAATAATAATCAAATTTCATCTTGATTGAAAAGAAGAATTTTTCTTAAGAAATGTAAGTTTGTGTCATTGTTTTGGGATTGCAGGAAAAACTTAAGATTTTCCTACCCCTCATAATTCCGTTTCTTATTTTTCCTTGACCCGCCCCTTTCGTAACGTCCGTCAGCGATTGCTCTTTCGGAGACAAACCTAGATCAGCACACTCAGCTCAGCACAGCACAACTCCGATTCGGACGCCTTCTAACGGTGGTGTACGTGACTTTTCCGATTTACCCGCCGGTTGGGGGAATAGAGAATGGAGATGTATGTTTTCGGTTGGGATGAATGTGATTTTAATTGTTATCGATCGTAGAGAAACAGAAATTTGAGAAAATTCATATTAACTGCGCAATGTCTTCGTGTCAAATGAGAGGAACTATGGTGATTTCAATCCTTAGGTTGAGGTTAGGTTAGGATCGCTTTATGCCTTTCTTTGACATTCGAGCGGTCGTAACGATCAGCACTGGATACAGTTTTAGCTCTTCTCTGTAATTTCGAAAATACTTGTTGTTGCCCATTAGTGCATGGCGCTCGTCAGGAAAGCATAACTTATAAACTTTGTTTCTGTCGGTGTTCTATTTTGTTGTTTTGTTTTGCACTGTATTTAATCATGTTATTTCTTTTCCAGGAGTTGAGGCTTAATAATTCAGGTTAATGTGTCCTATTGGAGGTGACATAACTGGAAATGTATAATCAAACTACCAATAACCAAACATCAAGCTCTGATGACAGTGATACTGAGAGGCGCAATGTTGTGCTCCAGAAGAAAGCAGTGCCACGATGCAATACGTATTTATCTGATGTTGGTGTTGGGGTTGTGCGCTCAGAAAGTGGCAGTGAGAAAGAAAGTGGAGCTAGCCGAGATTCAGACAGCAGTAGTGGCTGCTATACATCACCTCTCAAGAGGAAAGGAAAACCTAAATCATCAGATACTGAATTATCTTCTAAGATTGTGAACAGAGACCCAGGTTGTTTTCTTCAACCAGACTCATGTTCTAAACTAGCCTTGACAGGAAAAGTTAAATTTTGGAAGTGTCGAGAATGTTTCAAGAATATCTCTACCAATCAGTATTCCTGTCGATTTTATTCCTTTAGAACAACTCGCTGGAGTGAAAAACATTACATGTTTTCTGAGAGTTTTGCAAAACCATCTGATGCCACTGAGGTGTGTTTTAAATATGACATATATGTTACAGTTAAAGTCCAGAGAACGACAAATTCAATGTTTGACTGGTCAAAACTGGGTTTTACCTAGGCGGTTTGGTAAAAGCCCCATGTAGGATTGTGCGTCCGAGGTTTTACCATACCCAAAACAGTAAATGCTGTACCAGATAATTTTCATCTTAAAATTTTCAAAATTGATTTTCCAGTATTGTTATTGGCCCAGTTAATACCAGGGTGGCACTTAGAGCCACAGAGCAGCCTCCTGTCCATTAACTGTTTTTCTTGCAGCCTTTCTTGCAAGGGCACTTTGTGAAGCTCCTAGCCGCCTTAAAGCTGTAAAAGTACTTCACACTCATGTTCTTAAATTATTTTTGGTTTTAAAACCTGGGCAGAGCATAACGCTAGGGCGTCAGACAGTGGGCGTTCCAGAGGTACTCAAGGGTATTGCATCTGCAAACCGAAGTGCAAGAGATATCCTTATGATTAAAATTGAACATGAAAATTATCTGCATGCAGCACTTACCGTTTTGGGCATGGTAAAATCCCGATCTTACAGATGTAACTGGTCAAACTCCGGATCCACCATCCTACATTGGGCTTTTACCAAACCACCTCTATAAAACCTAGCTTTGACTGGTCAAATTCCGGATTTGACGTTCTCCGGGCTTTAGCTGTAACATGTTTATTAACTTTTTTTTTCAAGATTTGTCAATCTTATTTACTGGCTTTTTAATTTTTACAGGATGATAAGAAATTATGGCTGCCCAATGTAAACGAAACAACGAACCAGGACTCTCTTAATTTTCATGTTGCAAGATTTATTCTATCTCTTGTAGGAGATCAGTTTTGCAGCCTCTTGCGTCAGGAGGAAGCTGCTGTGAAGCTCAATTTAGGAGATGGTATCTATGTAACCCAGTATTTTTTGTAGTCTAGAGGACTTTCCAATTTTGCCATTCTCCTTTCTAAATTGTGATTTTGAACAGATGATTCTATATATTGGAAGAAACCCATGCAGGGAGTTCGTGAAATGTGTGATGTTTGCAAAACAACATTATTCAACTTCCATTGGGCCTGTTATAGATGTGGCTTTGTTGTTTGTATTGACTGCTATAAAGTGCGTAATAATAATCAAGTAGTCCGTTTAATTTTCTTATCTCATAATATTGAAGATATTTTTGACATGTATCTATATACTCTTTTAAAGGCACGACATAAAGATGATAAGAAGGCTTGGATGCTGAAAGGAAGCGACCATGATGAATGGAAATGGCTGTATTGCACAACTCGACAACCACATGAATTAGATTCTTTAATTATGTGTCAAACTATTGCTTCTAATTGTCTTACCAGCCTTGGCGACTTAGTTCATGAAATAAAATACCTCTACAAAATGCCAAAAACCTGCGGATGTGAATGGACACCAAACCGAATTAGTAGGTTTAATGAGGTAAGAACTCTTTGAAAGTATTATTTATAACTACCAGGTGGATGCCCGGAAGTCACAAAATACTATTGTATTTTACTGAACAATGATTGATGATTGATAAAATTCAACTATAACAAGTAATAATTTGTGATTTTCAAAATATCTGTCTGCTAGGATCGTGTCAATGAGTTGATCAAATCTGATCCTATAAATGCCATTATTTGTCATCTTGAGAATGGCCCCATTATACCAAACAACAGTGAAGATAATGAAGCACGTGTTCTTCTAGAATTGGACAAGCAAAAGCCACTTGATGATCTTACAATAGATTTCCCCTCTTCAACAAATCAAGAGGTATTAATTTCTATCTAGGATATTTATTTTTCTGATTGTGATGTCAAATTGTATCATACATTCGCTTTTAATATCTTAAAGGAATCAAGTAGTGAATCAGAGGATGAAGTTTGTACCAAGTCAGAACTTTTGGATCTGTTAGTTCCAAAGGACACGAACATTAATTCTTTGAATAGCAATGGGTCTTTGGCAACCCATGAAGACCGAACACCCAATGGCAAATTTGGCAGAAGTACTAGGTTTCCAAGTGGAACTGTGTTAGAATCCACTCAACCATCACCATTGTTATTAAATCAAATTAAGTCCTCACCTACAAAAAAGCTCAAGATGGCTCTTTTGGATGATGTAAGCAACTTTTTTTTTTCGACCGCCATTCATTTTTGCCCTGTATCTTACAGTTGTCTTCAGCAGTATTTTAATTTTTTATAGGTGCTTTCAAGAATGCAACCTGAGACATCAGAAATTGTAAAACCCTGTAAACCAATGCAGCATTTTGTAAGACGTAGCCAGGGTTTTACACCAATGAACCAAACTCAATTTCTTCCTCGGGTAATGACAAAGGCTCAAAGTGGTGAACTCTACCCTGATGTGCCACATGATTGGCTTTGTAATGGCAGGCTACTTAGACTGATAAATCCTAGCCACAGTGGGAATTACAGAATATTCCAGGTATGTATACAAAGCTTTTGTGTGCTTCATTGAACATCCTGCCACATTTGAAAACTTGCGTATTTTCTTCCCCCTAGGACCAATGGAGGAGAGGCCAACCAGTCATTGTAGGAAACATGACAAGTCTTCTGAATATGAATATATGGCATCCAAATTCATTTTGTAAAGACTTTGGAGAGCAGAAGAATGATCTCATCAATTGTGCTACAGGACATGTATTGCCAGATCGTCATATGAAAGAATTTTGGGAAGGTTTTGAGAATTTCTCTAAAAGATTAAAAGATGAGAAAGGAAATCCAATGCTCCTGAAACTAAAGGATTGGCCCCCTGGTATCTTCATGTCTTCAGCCACAATAGTAATTTCTTCTATGCCATGATTTATTGTTTTTGTTATATGATGTATTTTATTACAGGTGAAGATTTTGCTGAGCTACTTCCTAAACGTTTTGAAGATCTGATGCAAGCTTTACCTTTGGCTGAGTACACTAGAAGAACAGGTCGTTTTAATCTAGCTTCATACTTACCTGACTTCTTTGTACGTCCAGACCTGGGTCCAAAAATGTACAATGCTTATGGATCAGCACTATTTCCCACCAAAGGGACAACCAACCTTCATTTGGACATTTCTGATGCTGTAAATTTTATGGTGTATGTTGGGATTCCATGTGATGCTGATTACCACCAGCATATTGAAGGTCTCCTTTTTTTTCTTATCCTAATGACACTTTGAAAAAATTATCTTAAATCTCGTGATTTATTAACTATCTCTTTTCTTTTCATTGGTCAATAGAAGCTTACAATGCAATCGATGAAGCGGGCTGTGACGAAATGACTCGACGCCGAGTTCGCCTTAAAGGAGAAATGCCTGGCGCTCTCTGGCACATATATCATGCTTGTGATGCTGATAAAATAAGAGATCTTTTAAACAAAGTTGCTATTGAAAGAGGTACTAAACTAGAACCGCACCATGACCCAATACACGACCAGAACTGGTATTTAGACGCAGAACTTCGTGATAGGCTCTATGAAGAATACGCTGTAACTGGCTATGCTATAGTGCAATGTTTGGGTGATGCTGTTTTTATACCCGCTGGTGCCCCTCATCAAGTATGTATCAGTATAGTCCATTTATTTCATCGGTGATCCTTTGTTTTGTCTCTTACATATTTCTTTTACTTTTGCAGGTGAGAAATTTGCACAACTGTGTTAAGGTGGCGGAGGATTTTGTTTCGCCAGAAAACGTGTCACATTGCTTTTACCTTACTCAGGAATTTAGAAATCTCTCCGATACTCACACAAATCATGAAGACAAATTACAGATTAAAAACATAATTTACCACACTATTAAAAGTGCTGTGTCAACATTAATGAATGAAGCTATTAAGAAGTAGTACCAAAAAATTCAATTAACTATCATGAAGACTGAAACACAATACATTTTGTTTCTGAAATTTGGTGAGAAGTTAGAATTGTTCCCTAGAAATCAGTTATTCAGATCATATTTGTAGCCTGTACTGTAGATAACTTAGATAATGCTATCAAGTGAAGTTTTACTTAATTAACTGTACCTGTATGCATAGATTGTTCTCTGATTTTCCTGTACTCCTTCTAAAGTGAAAAAAGCAATTTCTGTGAAAAGAAATATATTCTTGAAGTTATATATACACACTTATTTTTAGCCAGTTTTTATTGTGAGGGAAACTGATCAGTTTGACTTATGTTACTGATGTAAGTATAGACTTTATTTAATTATTGGAAAGTATTCTAATCTACCTGATGTAGTTAATAACTTGTATCATTGTCACAATTGTTCTAAAACTTAAAATATTATCAAGAGCTTAGTTAGATTTTGTTTTTTATATTATATATATACTATTATACCTCGTGATTTATCACAAATAAATTATACAATCAAATGTAAATGCGTTTTCAACCTTCTCAAACTAATAGGCGTGAGTGTTTGGTGTGCGCTTGTCTGGGTACTACTGGAGCAACAGATTTGGCATTTGACATAAAAGTGAGAAGGGATTTTTTTATTTTTTTTCAATTTTAGGGTTGACAAAGTAGAAAGTATGTCCTTGAAATGACCATTTTTTTTTGAAGATGTCATTATTGATTTCACTGGAATTAAAGTACGGGTTAATTTATCCGACCTTGGTTAGCCTTCTATGGAATAAAATCAGGTTGTGGTAATTCATTCTGCAAGGGGTTTGGAGGAAGGTGTCAAGTCTTATTGAACGAGGGAGAAAAGTTAATTTTTCGTGTTGTACGTGAAACAACTTAAAAGCTGTCGTCTTTAAAAGACGAGAACTTGTGTCAAACAAAAAAAAAACGTTAACAATTCTTGTTAACCATAAACGGACCCTTAGTAAAGAAAATTTTCTATTTTATAGTTTCGAG